CCCCAAAACCCCAAAACCCCAAAACCCCAAAACCCCTAATCATGATATTTTAATAATTTGAAAGCTTTTAAAAATCTTCAAAAGAAATACAATAACGTCATTAATTACAAAATCATTCATTCAGGTATAATTTCTGAAATTATTTCAGTACGTTTCTTATTTTTGTCTTGTTTTTCTTCAATTCCATCTAGAATTAGAAAATTCGCTAGTATACAGGGCACTAATGCTAGTAAACAATAGGAAATCATTGGTATAGGAGCAGCTGCTTCTGCTACTATTGGAGAAAAAATAGTAGTCATCTTTGCAAATAAATTACATAATCCAAAAGCAGTACCAGCAAATACAGTTGGAAATATCACAGCACTTACCAAATAGCAAATATTATATGCTGCGCTTATTCCAAATCTGGCGAGTAAAATTGAAAATGGTATCAAATAACCTTAAGATCTGTCTTAAAATACAATTAGCATTAACCCTCCAATAATAGACACACTGTAACAGAATATCAGAACTCTCCTTATGCCTATCTTTTGTACTAAGTAGCCGCTGACTATGTAGGCAATTGTTTCAGTAAGAGCAGCTACTAGAATATTTGTGAAGAAATCACCCTTGATGTACTTCATCTAGAAATTTAGTTAATAGTAGTCAAACGATGCTGCAATCCAGACTGTTATCATAATGAAGAGATTACAAGCATGCTACTTTTGCTTGAGAATTTCTTTGATACTACCAGAGTTATTTTAATTTGGTTCTTTCAATTTTATTCTATCTTATCTTGAACTTTATAGAGTGTCACAATCAGCTGATGTGGTATATTAATTCTGATTCTGATCATTAGCTGATTCATATTTATTTGCGTCTTGATAGGGTATGTTTTATTTTAAATAAGTCTCTTCATCACTTTAAAGAAGTGCTTAATCTTCATCTTTAAACTTGAAATCTATAGGCCCATCATATCTGTTCCACCTAGCTATAGTTTCCAAAGACTTTCTTGCTTCATCATATCTCTTTTTGCTAATCAAGTATTATGGTGATTCAGGAAGTGCTATAATTGATATAGTCACTAAGAGAGTAGTAAATGCACTAAATGCTTGGAAAGGTAACCAATCTTTAGTTATATATAGATGATATAATGCTAGAATAGCAGGGGTAATTCCAATAGAAATCTATGCAAATGATCCAATAAAAGTCTTATACTTATCCGGTGTCATCTCTTGCATATATAGAAAGCCGATAGCTGCTCTTCCTAATGACGCAAAACCAAATCCACAAATTAGTACTAATGTTAGATTTAATTTTCTTGACATGCATATGCCTATATAGAAGAATGTTTACAAGCCCATAGATAAAAGGTAAGCTTTCTTTCTACCATAAAGATCCTAATAAGTTTAATCATAAACTTTAAATTACACTTATTCTCGGTAGAGTAAAGGCGCCTGACATGTACCCAACAAAAAACATTGATCCGATCATCCCAATTCTAGATGCACTTTCACAAGTCAGATCGAGAGATTCTACCCAATTGTGAAGACTAGTTGGATCATCCCAATCGATCTTATACTTTATCGAGGGGTCTTTGCAGAAGGTTTGATCTGCTTTACATTCATATGTGGTTCCATCTTTGTTAAAACATAAATATTTCGGAGGCTTCTCCAGCATTGAAAAGGCGAATGCAAGACACCCTCCAGTAGTAAAAGCCCAAATAAACAAAGAAGATGCCCATAATTAGAAATAACTAAAACCCCCAAGCCTTTCAAAAGCCTAATCTAAAGTTAAAATGTCTACTCCAGCACTACCATGATTTGATGACTGTGGGTTTGGTGAGTCATCTTCATCTACTGACCCTATTTTAGTGCTTTTTCCAGAACTATTGTCAAATTAAGTGTGTTTCATATTAAATTTTTAATTTTTAAATAATCCTTAAATTATAATAAGGTAAAAGTAGGTAAAACTTTCCTATTTTCATCCTAATAAATTCAATTGAAATTTTACATATTACATCATCATAAAATTTTCATTATCTAATGGCTGGGGTTTTGGGGTTTTGGGGTTTTGGGG